GAAGCTCGCAGGCAGCAATCCGCCACCTCGACCTCCGGGGCGAGAAAGCCCCGTTCGTAAGTGCGGATCCGACGTAAGTCGGGGACTGCCTGTATATGCTAAAGTCCCTCGTCTGCAGTAGAAATCTGTGCTGGTACAGCTATTCCAGTGGTGAAACTGAGGCAAATCCCTGGTTTACACAAGGCTTTAACTTGGTTATATTTAGAAGTAGTTTCTTAGGTCTGTCCAAAATAACACAGATGAAGTCCTTACTTGGTGCCAATTCCTGCCAATACTCCCTAGCAGAAGTAGGATTTACTATAGAGGAGTAGGCTCACTGAAAGCAATAGGATTATCTGTGGTTTTTATTTATTTTTCAAGATTACCTCTCCAGTGATACCGATTGCTGGACAATGTTGTTTTCTATTTTATGATGTTTAGAAAAATCAGCAAAAGCTATTAGTAAGCCTGCCTTATGTTAATTGGATAATATCCAATGGTTGTGCAGCTGTATTTTCTTAGCAGTGTGTGCCTCTCAGAGCCACTAAAATCTAAATGAAGTGTATTTGTCATACTGCAGTCCTATAGGATTAATAGAATTTGGGTTCATTTGAGCTGATGTATTCCAGCAATATTAAGTTACCAATGTTTGTTTTATTGTCCTTTGTTCTTTTTTCCCCCTAGCTTTGTAAGCCTCATATCTAATTTTTTTGGAAACTCAGCTGAGATATGACAAGTATTTCTGGCCAATGTTACTAGTTCTGGCAGATTTGAAAAGTTCTTGGCAGCCTTTATAGGTAAGCATGGATGATAGTTTACATCAAGTGTAACAAAAGGGATAGTACCATATGTAGAACTTTTCCCAATTTTTTCTTTCTCTCTTGGAATTGATTAACGTTGTGTTTGCTTTTTGTACTAATAGATGAACTATGAAATCTTTTTTAAATGTTTGCAAATCATTTGTATCCCTAATAAATGGAAGAAGGGAGTCAGCCACAGAAATAACGAGGGATGGCATGTTTATAGTAAGAGAAAAGCTGTAATATTCCTCGAAAACGAGGTTAGTGCTCTGTTACTGCCAGTTTTTATCTGTAGCTTGACATTTAAGTTGATATATCAGTTTTCTGCATTTCATTAGTGAAACAAATGAACAGGAGGCTTTCAGCTAAGAATAACTATCATTGTAAATAGTGTCATTCTGTGATGTTTGAGCAAAGCTTGAACATCACAAGACCTGCCAGTTGTGTTCTCCCTTCTAGCGTTCTTCTAGCAATTGTCCCATGGAAATTATCATCTCCCTGCACAGAGCCTTGGTGTTCTGTTTTATTCTTTTCCTGCAGCCACCTGTTCAGCCACCTTCTGTGTTGACTTTCCTTTAATTATGCAGTGCATACACATTTAGCCCATTTTAAAAATGACTATTTAATGATAAAACAATAAAACCATATCAGGGCTGGATTACAGGCTCACATCTTTTTGCTGTTAGACAGATTCATGATTAGTGACACACTTATGACACTTTGTTAGCTGTAAAATTAACCCTCAAAAAGATTCTTACTAGATAACAAGCATTATTGCCACACTTCAGGAAAGTTCTTAAATATGTGCTTAAATTTTATTATGGACCTAAGCACATGCTTAGAATTAAGCAACTTGTTTAACATGCTAACACGCTTACATGCTTTACTGAATCAATTTTCCAGTCGATAGAGATAATTCAATTTAAAGTTTAAGCCATTGTGTATTTGCATGTCTCTTCAATGAAGAAAAAATATTCTAAGCTCTCAGTGGTGCTTTTTAAAGCAATTTAATTCTTATAATTTTAGGATATAATTAAAAACTTTTGCCCACCCCTCCTCTACATTCTCAATTGGGTTTTCAGTGTGTGTAATAATGTAAACAATGTAATCTGAAGAGATGTAGTTGATATAGTTATTCTGTATGATGCAATGGTGGTCTTTATTTGTATCTCCCTTTCTGTATTTACATGCTCTTCCACAATGTGCTCCAGAATTGGGTGTCGGGGGTATCTTAAATAGCTGTTTGCTTATTTTTTGTCTTTAGATTTGTAAAAATGCAAAAAAGAGCATCTATCCCTGTGCAGTATACATCCTCAGCATAAAATCAAAATACATCGGATGGAACAAAAAGTCAATTCAGTATAGCCCACCACCAGCACCTCTAGTTCCTTAGAGTCTGGCTGTACGTGTAATCACAATGAGATGGCAGTTCATGTAGCTAATTTTAATCTAGCTACATAGGGTGCTGGTAGCAGTGACGCTTCAGCTGTATGTCAGTAATTACTCAGTATTCTATGCAGGTTTAAAAGTCTGCACTGAAGCAGATTCACGAAGCTCACTTGAATATGCCTGCAAAGCAGCAAGCGTGATGTAGTGAACATACCATAAAAGATTATCTTTTTCTCAAATCCTCCTCCCTTCCCCCTCTGCCATCCTCACCCTCCTCATTTTCAAATGGTTGGTGAGATTACATTGGTAAAGCTTGCGTCATTGCTTTATTGTTTGTCCAACTGGAATGTGTGTGTTTTCTGTCTGTGCTCCATGCATTTTGATGTGTGACACAGTATCCGTTTACCCATAAGAATGCAGAGAGTTCCATTGTTAGGCTCCAGTTCAGGTAAGCATTAAGCATGTGCTTAAGTCTGTTGCTATTCAAGGATACATGCTCAAGTCCCATTGATGTCACTGATATGTATCTGCTGCTTTGAATACAGATGCTTTCTGGAATCAAGACCTTAAAAATGTGAAATGCTTATGCCCGCCTCTCTTTATTACTACAATATGGCATCTGTAGAGTTAAATAAATGCAATTTTAGGGAACAATAGGATTAAGAAATTAACCTTTAGTTGGAAAGTGTGTCATTGCAAATAGGAGGCCATAAGTATTTATGCAAGACTCTTGCTGTTAGCACAACTTAAAGAGGGTTTTATGGTAAATTAAATTGGTGTGTGGTTGAAATTCTACAGAACGTAATGATTTATTTGTGGGGCATGGCACAGGTAGAAGGTTACACTTACTAGCAACAGAGACAAGAAATACAAAAGTACTGCATCTTTTAAATGGGTATGTTCTTTACTTTTTGGATAAAATTTACAAAGTTGTCTGCTGTTTAAATAGCTGCCAAATTTCATAGGTGAAGAAAGTGATCTAAGTATATAGTTTGCGCATCAGTTTTGTTTCTAAAGTCGTTTTGGGGATCCTTCCAGTTAACAAGTTCTGGGTAAATATAATCAGATTTGGGTATTATATACAAATGTGTGCATAATAAGATTTGTAAAATCTGCTCACCAGAGCTTATATCAGAGTTGACAGGGCTTCTTGGGAGAGAAAAATACCATTTGCTATGTGCGGCTTTTAAATTCAGCGCTACTCATTTAGTGTACAAAATGTGAGCCTCATTTACATGTGGAGAGTGAAGTGCTTCCATTGAGAAAGACCAAGGGAAATAATTTGTGCATTGTGTTAGCAAATGTATTTTACATGCTATGGTTTATTCAAGCTCATAAGAAGGTACAAAGTAACACATGTGCCAAGGTTGTAGAGATACCTACAGCATCTGCGGTGAATCTTGATAATAATGAATTGATACACTTGTTCTTCCTGTTTCCGGGCAGAGAATCAAACTGCCTTTGCTTAATATGTCTTATTGGTTTATCTTGGAGAGCTTGTGGAGGACAGGAGAGATACCTGAGTATTGGGAAAGGGCAAAGATAATACTTACCTATAAAAAGAGGAATAAGGACAACCCAGGGAATTACAAACCAGTCAGTTTAGCTCTGGTACCCAGAAAGAAAACATAATAAACAATCACATAATCAGTATGTGAGCACCTACAATAAAATAAGGCAATAAATAATAGAGTGTATTTGTTAAGTACAGATTATGTCAAATCAACTTAATATCTGTGGTACTGGTAGGCCAGATGCCAGCTCTTGCCTAGGCTGCATACATAAGCTAAGAAACTACAAGCTTAATGCTGGAGAAGAGGCTGGCTCACCCATAGGTAATGTGTAAGGGAGGCATGAGGGGACACGTGCCAAACGCCATGCACAAGAAAGGCAAGGGGACGGCCAGCACCTGGTGGGCCCAGAGCCTCTGGCTGGCCCAGGTGCTAAAAGGAGGGCCTGGCACCTGCACCAGAGGTTCAGTCCCCTCCCCCCTCACACACACACACACACACACTCTCTCACTGGCAACTGTGGGACAAGCAGAGCTGTGCAGCCCAGCTCACTCTGCTCTCCTGGCTGTACCGGTAAGGGGAGGGACAGGACTGCCCCTGCACTCACTGCAGTGCGACTCGGTTGGGGGAGGAGAGAGAGCAGAGCCTTCATTGCTCCACTTGTCCTGCTGCTGGGGGGAGGTGGACCCCCATCTCCACTGCTGGACCCTGGCCCTGCCAGTCCCGCAGGACGCATTACTCGGGGTAGAGGAAAGAGGCAGGATGGGAGCAGAGCAAAGGAGGGGAGGAGGCAGAGCATGGGCAGGGAGAGATGTGGCTTGCAATGGAGGGGGGTTGCCCCGCCCCTTTCCCAGGCCCTAGGGGGAGTCACATGACAGGTGGGCTCCCATGTGCCCCCTCACAAGTTGCCCCTGGGCTTGCCTCTTTATTATTTTCCTTAAGACTTTTAAGACTATTAGTCTTGTAAGAATGTATTTAGTGTTTAGACTCTGTGAAATGGTTGCAGGTCACTGAGTGCATTAATCTCGCTTGCAATGTCTGTAATCCATTCTATAAGAAAATATGTACATTTTGCTTTATAACTTTGAAAGTGTTTGCTCTGAACTCGTTAACTAAGGCACTCTTCCCTGCCCCATTCTAGAAGGACTATAAAATTAGATGTGCTATCTATCAAGAAACATTGCTGTACAAAAGATTGGCTAATGGCTCTGTCAGATCTGGGGAATGGTACATGAAGGAAGCTCATCCTGTGGGCTTCGAAGAGAAATGAAGGAAATAACAAAAAGCTACAGGAATAATTCTGATTTGCCCTAAATCCCCAGGGACTTCCTCCTAGGTCTGCCATTCTTAGGATTTAGATAACTCATTTGTGTGTGTCTACATTTGCTTGCTTTAACTTGTAAATAGCTCTTATTCCTTTTTCTTAGTTAATAAGCCTTTAGACTGTTTGTTCCAGGATTGGCTACAGGCATTGTCTTTGGTGTAAGATCTAGGATACTATTTGATGTGAAGTAAGTGACTGGTCTCTGGAGACTGGGAGCAGTCTGAGTATGGTGTGATTTTTGGTGTAACTGACCATTTATCACTAGCTCTAGTTTCTGTACTTGGTATGATAGACTGAAGAGCTTAAGGGGACTCTGTGACTCCATGGTAAGACTGTTATAGTGATCCAGGAATTCATATTTGTTGTTGTCACGGTGAAATCTAATTATAGTACCCACCACCAGTTTGGGGTATCTGCCCTGTTTTTGATAATCTGCGTAGATATATGCTGCAGAGGGATAACCGAGTTAGTCTGTAACTGGAAAAACTTTAAAAAACTACAAATAGTCTTGCAGCACCTTAAACACTAACAAAACATATAAATGATATCATGAGCTCTCATGGGCACAACCCACTTCTTCAGATGACTGGAGTTATTAAAGGTCCAGTTTTGAAATAAATAGGGAATAGAGGGCGAGAGTGCCTGGATATAGGCACTCATCGTCATGAACCACTACAGACAGCATGACTATATCCTTCTTTCACAGAGTAACAATCTTTGCGGATAGGAGCAATTCAATACATGCCCTATATCTTGATTTTTGTAAGATTTTTTTATACTGCCTCACATGGCCGTATTATAAACAAATTGGAGAAACGTAACCTGGATGAACTACTTGTGTGTGGGAGCACAACTGACTGGAAAGCCACATATAGAGGCTTTGTCTACACTGCAGGGTTTTTCGCAAGAAGCCTTTTGCGGAAGAGTTCTTCTGCAAAAACTTTGTGCACAAAAGCACATCCAGACCTCAAAGCGCATCGCAAAAGCGATGTGATTTTGCACAAGAGGGCGTCCACACTGCATAGACACTCTTGTGC